AAAATATGATGTCCTCTATCACCTAACAAAATTTGAAACTAAAACACAAATTGTACATAGAGAAACAAAAAAAAGTAATATCTTTTTAAGGTGTAAATTGGACCAACTTAGAAATAAATTGAACTAAATGTTAGTTTATGGGGGTTTATCTGGATGTAGACCAATCCCAGATGGGCCCGTTGTTTTATCAAGCCCCGGCCCGTGAACCTCTGCGACAAAGGCCTACGGAGCGGTTGGGCTGTCGCGACTCTGGTCGTGCGAGAGTCCAGCCCGCCGGTCCGGCAACGAAAGCCTATCTGCCAAGTAGTTCCGTTCGGGAATGGCATGTTGGGCCGTTCTCGAGGAGCTATTTTGACAGCGGATGAGCCGGTGCTCATTTTGCCAGACACCAACCTCTCTCACAGTCTGAGTGTCTCACAGTCACACACACACGCGCGCGCGTAGTTCCAAGTTCCAGCACGCATCCAGCCGGGTACAATGCCAGTGCCAGCATCGTTGTGTTAGGTAGGTTGCGTGCCATCGACAAAGGAGTTGGCTCGTCAGATCCGAGACATTCCAAAGCCTGACCGATCGCTGAACGCCGCCGATGGAGGCAAAGGCCCCGATCGCGTCTTTTTAAATCTTGATCTCTTTTTTTTATCTGGAATAGTGTTTTTCTCTTATAAATTTCTTGACGTTTTCTAAACCATCCAAATTCCTCCGGCCAAACACCCCAAAGAAGCCGATTGCGTGCCCTGTGGCTGTGGTCACGGGCGCCTGCCGTGCAAATACTCCGTAATTCAGAGCTACCGCGGTGACGGACGGACAGGCCGGGATATGCACGATCGGCCACGAGGCCGCTGGCCGCGCGTGCGTATATGCATGTGCATGTGCATGTGCATATGCATGCCTGGGTTTGGCCGCCGCGACAGGGACAAGGAACTGGATTTCACCATGCGTCCACGCCGTGCGTTGCTTCTTCTTCATCTGTAAAGCTTCCATAAATCTCTTCCGTTGTTCTCTTGTCTCACCCTTCTTTTTTTTCAAAGGACTAGAGGACGCCGAGCCGTTCGATTCAGACGCACGCAAGTATTGCTCGCATGCTAACCGCAGTGCGTCTATCTTTCTTCTCTATTTTCTTCCTTTACCTCACTATAAAAAAAAACGTTTGTAACAATGGAATAATTTTTTTGACGGCTGGTGATGGAGCCGCCCCCTACAGTGGACGTGCTCGGGACTCACGAGACCAGCCGCCCCTACAAATAAAACAATAGAGGCGGCTGGTGATACGAGCCGCCCCTACAAATGGGTTGATTTGTAAGAACGGCTCACTCATCAGCCGCCTCCGGTGTTGCTATTTGTAGTAGTGCCTGGTTGTGCAAAAGAGTTTTTTTACAAATATAGACCGAAAACTCTTTTGCAAGTCTAATTCTCGGGGACACATTGGCTTCGGCACTTGGCACGATTGTTCTGGTGTGATGAATATATAGGAGTGCATCTCCAGGCGTGTCGGATCCTTGAAACGGATCCATTGTGCTTCTTCGTTGTCTATGGATGGCTATTTAATTAATTTTAGAATTGGGTTTAGAAAGCTGAGTTTACAAAGTTGGATTACATACTGAACGGAAAAACTCAAACACAATTACAGAATGACTAATCATCTAAAGCTTGATTTCCTCAAGCTTTCCTTCTTAGTCTCATCTCCCACTTGATCAGGGAACCACTTGTGATGGTGTGTTCAAAACTCATCCAAAAATCCTCCAATTTCTTTCCTTCCAGATGTTCCAAGCTCCATACATGATCAAAGCGGCTTTCGTTCTCTATGTTCATGTGCTCTGGCTCTGCATTGATGTTGCGTGCCCATCATGCATCGGCCGTTTAATCGTCGTATTCTGGAAGTTTGCTGATTTACCCAACTCAATCTTTCATTTTGAACCACACCTTCACAAAAGGGCATTGCACAAATAAGTGTACCACAGTCTCTGGTGTCTGATCATAGAGCAGGCATATCAGCTTGATTACATGGCCTTTTTTTTTTTGCCTCAACATGATCCGCGGTGAGGACCTTCGCCTGAAATAATAGCCATGCAAAGAACTTACACTTTCCTTCATGTTTCTCCGGGTTGAACTAGCCTGAAGCTGCAAAAGGATAAAGAATTAGGTTTCTTGAGTTAATATTTGTGAGTTGTGGATTTATTTTTAGAAGTAGTTGTAAGAGCATCTTCAAAAGTTACCTAAATATTCCTCCTAAAAATTCCATGTTTTTCAACTCCTAAAAAGTATTGGGAGAAAAAAAGAGGATCATCTCCAATAGTTTCTAATATTTCAATTTAAAAATCAAATTTTGGTCCATTTGAGTTTTTTTCAATCCTTTTTCAAGCAGAAATTCTTCGTGCTCACGCGATAGATGCGCCGCCGCCGCCTCCTTTCCTTCCGTGTTGCCCCTAGCTCGATCGACAACCGACAAGCGGGCAGCGGCCAGCCACTAGGCAAGCAAACAGAGCATGCATACAGTACCATGCAAGCAAGCGGTGGGTAGCAACTAGGCAAGCATGCAACCAGCAGCCTGCGACGCAAAGCAAGCGGCGCTACTCGTCGCCTCGGTGGCACTTCGCCGCTTTGGGCTGTGGCGGCTCCATCATCATCAACTCCACGCCGGGCAACAAGACCGAGAAGGATCAACCCGCTCATCGCCAAGGGCTCCGGGTGGCGCTTCGGCCGACCAAGTTCCTCCGTGGCGCGCCGCCCACACCGCCGAGGTGGCGTCTGCGGCTGATTCGCCTCAAGCGCTCGCTGGCTTGCGCGGGTTCATCAAGGCCCGGCGCCCGGTGCTCACAGCATTCTTCTGCGCTCCCGGCAGCGATTCCTTCTCACCGCCGTGCTCGGCGTCACTCGTGGACCCGGTTAAATCCGAATTAAATGCGACACGGTGGGGAGCTCACGCAGGGCTGCGGCTCGTCACCGTCCTCCTCGTCGACAAAAAGCGGCCAAGACGGCTGGCGTCGCACCACTACGAGTTCGAGGGCGGAAGCTGGGAAAGGTGCAGGAAGAAGGACTCATGAGAGCGCGCAATCCATGGCGTGGCTTCGTCACACACAAAGTTACGCTGTGAAAGGAGGGATTTCCCAAGTCTGAAAAGATTAGAGTATATATTAGGAGTTGTTGGAGAGGAGTTTTTTCCTATCTTTCTAAAAAACAAGGATTAGGAGGATATTTAGAGAACTCTGGGAGATGCTCTAACTTTTTATAACAATAAGGTGGTTTAAACAAAGCCGAATGTTTCTTTTAAGTAATCTAACGAATAATTAAACTCAAGGTGGGCCGACAACCCCCCTAACAATAAGGTGGTTTAAACAAAGCCAGAGTAGTTGTTTTGAAAGAAGTAATCAATGATTAGATCCAAATAATGGCTTTAAATTCTAAACAAACACTTACTTCTAGCTAGATAGATTGTCAATCAACTGATGATTATTTAACTGAAATATTCTCAAGTTTGTTTTGGTAGAACAAAAATTTATACTAGTTGAACAGGAAATGTATACATCTTGAACAAATCATGTACTTCAAGAATCAAGAATAACAAAAAATTGTACACTGTGAACAAATCATGCGCAATTCCTTTGCCGGTGCTGACTACTACTACTAATGGGCTTCAATTTTGGAACAAACAAAATGCAACTTTAGCCGAGCAAACTAAGACTACATGGGCCGAAATACACACTGGTTCTCTTAAATCTTGATTGAGTGTGTGGAGGAGAAAATTGGCCATATACGTGTATGTCTGTGAGTATGCAAAATCGTCTAACAACAGTGCATTCGTTTGTTGGTTTGGCCAAAAACGTAAACTAATTAATTATGCGGTGTTTTCTACCGAAAAAGCAGAGTCTCAAGTCAACCCAAACCAACACCAGCACCTACCAGCGAACAGCCTGAGTGACACGCAGGCACGACGCATCACAGTCCCCGGCGCGGCGTGAGGTCGTGCACAGCGCCATCGCAGTCCCGATCCGACGGTGACCGCTACAGCTACAGCGTGTGAGCGAGTCACCCTCAGCCAGCTCCCACCCGAAGTTCCGAACAAACTGCGTGGCGCGCGGCCTATGGGAATTGGGAAGGAAGATTGGCACACTGTCGGGCGACGACTCATCAGACACAGTCATCAGGACACCGTTACACCAACGACGCTCTGGCCGAATTTTGTATTTTTTAGTTTATTTTTTTTAAAAAAATTCATAAATATATCCCTACAATACCTTAGCTTGATGTCATCGTTGCTGGCTCCAAGCTCCAGGGCACGTTGCCACCATAGACGCTGACATGTACAGACATCTAGACGCCGTGGATCCCAATGATCGTGACGCCGAGCTCGGCTCGGCGCCAATGATCGTGACGCCAAGCTCGGCTCGGCGCCAACGATCGTGCCAAGACCTCCTATGGCCCGAGGTTCCTTTCTCTTTCTCTCTACCGTCCCCGCCCTCACCCGTGCCGCCCCGCCGCCGCGGCCGCTCCCACGCGCTCGCGCCGCCGCGCCCGCGCGCCCGCGCGCCCACGCCACCCCGGCCGCAGCCGCCCCGCCCGCGAGCGCCGCTCCGCCGCGGAGGCCGACCGCCGCGACCGCCAGGAGCGCGCCAAGGAGGAGCAGTACTGGGCCGAGGCCGAGGGCCCCAAGTCCCGCGCCGCGCGCCGCCGGGAGGAGGACACCGAGAAGCGCGCCGAGGCCGCGGCGCGCAAGGCCGAGAACCGCCGCCTCGCCGAGGCCGAGGTCGCCGCTTCCGCGTCGGCGCGTCCAAGGCCGCCGCGCGCAAGGCGTCCCACGTCGCCGCCCCGCCCCCCAAGGTCACGGAGGCCGAGCTCGCGCGCCGCCGCGAGGAGGAGCGGCTACGCCTCGAGCGGGAGGCGGAGGCCGCCAAGAAGCGCGCCGCGCGGGTCGCCGAGGAGTACGAGCGCGTAGTGCTTGTCGAAAACACTAACAGGATGATTCCCTCATCGAGGCCAGGTCGGTTGAGGAGGCCATCGCGCGGATGTCGGTCCTGGATCCGCAGGTGTCCCTGCCCGCTGACAAGCATCCTGAGCGACGCCTCAAGTCGACCTTTAAGGTATATTAATTTTACCAAATTTTGTTTCTTATATGCTCTTTTACTAAATAACTTTATAGCTATGTGAAATTTGGTAGGATTGCACCACAATTACAAAGAAAATAGATATATGTTATACTAGTAACGTAGATATATCATTTTTTTTTTGGTATGATTGAGAAAGATATGTGAGGCACTGAGGCGCTGTAATCGCAGTTAAAAATGATTTAGTCCTTGTGGAATGAGGAGCTAAATTTAAGAACTACCGTGCTCTCATACCTGAGCTATAAGTTGTTAAAAAAAACTTCCGTAGGCACAGATGAACGGGACACCCATCCATGGTAGTGACTGTTGCAACACCTGTCGGAGCGCTTGAAAATAGCACACTATCATCATAGTTGATATGGGATAGCAAATTAATAATGCTGTAGCGTTGCATGATTTTCTTTTACTCTGCTATTCCAAATCGGTCCAATGCTTTGGGACATTCTAATATGCCTATTTTTCAATCCAGTTCCTAATTCCATATGGTACTGCAATTTAAGAATGAGAAATTTAGAATAGTTTCTGCTCAACACACACTGTTTGACTTATATTATTGCTGCTGAGTTATCTTAAATCTTGGTTGCACTGCTATACTGCAGAAGCAATGTGATCAGCAGTATTACATTTTCTAAAGGAAGAAACACATACAGAATAGTGCTTTGTCTATACATAGAAAATATTGAAGTGGCATATAATTCTTCCGAAGAATTCACAGCTGTGGTCTTCTTATATTCACTTTCAGCACAGCATTTGCGATAATTTTCAATACCTTGACCCTTGGTGTAAATTTTTGTGCTTCAGTAGGCATTTAGTTTTTCTACTGTTTGATATATGTTTGGTGATTGAATGCATTTGTGATAATTTTATGATAGGCATTTGAAGAGGCAGAGCTCCCTAAGCTGAAGGAAGAAAAACCAGGCCTAACGCTGCACCAGTACAAAGACATGATATGGAAACTGTGGAAGAAGTCTCCAGACAACCCTCTTAACCAGGTTTGGCTTCTATCTCCTAGCGATTTTGTACTATGTCTTCGTGGATGTACATGATTTGTATGAATATGCCATATCTGCCATCTTCAGCTTTAACACATGTAATTGAAATTGTGCCTAAAACTTGTTTCCACTAATTTTCACTAGTGATATTTTGAGCCATTTATCATTTTTGGTCTTAGAATTCTCAAGTGGTTTGGCCTTAGTCATGGTAGTGTTTTAATATCCGTGCTTAGTGTGATTTATGTCTAAATCCTCAAACAAATATTTATGTGCAGGCTGCTGACTGATTTTGCAATCCTACTAAACCGTTTGTGTAATTAAAGGCAAGTATTAAATCTCTAACTTAAATAGGTTCATTATACTTATGTCGGATTTCATGAGCAATAGCATGCCATTGTTTTATATGCAGATCAACCTCCAAACAGCCCTGAGCTGCGTTGATACCTTTTTCTTGGAGTGGATGTGCAACAAACCTTGAATCAGAAAGATGTTTCAGTCTCGGCTAATAATTTTCAAATTACTGGAGTGTATACTGTGGGAGGTGTTCTTGTTTAGACTTTGTTGAGGTTCCTTTTTCTGTTTAGTATGGTTGGGCACATGTTGGTACCAAACATACTTCACGCGTGACAGTATTTTGAATCTTGAACAAGTTGTGTCATGGGCTAAACCATGATATGTCCATTTGTTACCGAGGCTGCCTCATTATTTGGCTCAATATCTCTCTTTTTGCATAATATGGCTCCGTAATCATTTGAGTTGCTTCCCTCCATTTCGGCTGAACGATGTGGAACATGTACGGACGAGCTTCAGTGGATGCAAGTTACCAGTTACCTTATGGGTTAATTGATTGCTTGCATTAGCCTTAGCCTGTGCATAACCTAGACAGCGTAAACATATGCTCAATAAATTAGCGTTCTTCTGAGCTCGTCATTGCCGCGCTACCTCATCATCTGCGGGCGTAGGGACTGCACGCCAGCCATACTAAACAGCTAAAGGTCCGGCTACTGGAGGAAGTCCATCTTAACATCAGTGACATCGAGTTATAGGAAGGTTGGGCCGGAGTTAAAACACCACCTCGGCACCATAGATCATGGCGCCAAGCTCGGCGTCAGGATCTACAGCGCCAAGCTTGACGCTAGGATCTATGGCACCGAGTTGCCTGTCAAATCACCACCACGTCTGCGTCGAGATCAAGACCTCAGCGCCAATAACGATAGCGCCAAGTTAAGGATCCAGATTTTGAAATCATACCTCCAGGAGTATATTTGTGAATTTTTTTAAAAAAATAGCTAAAAAATAAAAAATTCGGACACTCTGGTCAGTCGTCAGGAAAACTACGTGACGACGGTGGTGACCCTGTGGACTCGGTCAGTCATGAGAGCGAGTCTCCAATAATTCCGTTCCATCGCTAGCAGAGTAGCTAAGGATGGCAACGGGTCGGGTTCGAATCGGGTGGAGTCTCCGTGCACCCAAAACCGAAACCCGAAATCGAAACCCGAATCCGCCCCGAAAACCGATTCGGGTGGAAAACCATCACCAAAAACAAACCCGCGGATACCCGAAACCCGAACGGATACCCGAAACCCGAATGGATACCCAAAACCCGCGGATATATATACACATATTCACATGTATAAACAAGAGGCAACAAATAATAAATATTTTCATGAGTCAACTTTAAATAAATTTAATAATCTAAGTAAACAAATTATTATTAGTATATTATAAAACATGAGTTTTAATTCCAAATGATTTATTTCGGATATCCATTAGATATCCATGGGTGGAAAATCAAACCCGAAACCGAACCCGATTGGTTTCGGGGCCCCGAACCCAAAAACCGTGGGTGAAAAACCATCCCCAAACCCAAACCCGCAGAACCCGAAACCCGCGGATATCCGCCCCAAACCCGATCTATTGCCATCCTTAATAGTAGCAGGAGTATTGTTCTGTTCGTACGAGGTTGCCGCGTATGGGGAGCGCGTGTCTAGAATTGTAGGATTATTTTAGACCGCACGTTATGATTTTTTGAGCAAATGAAAATATTGGAAACCTCATCTCTTATAGCAATCACAATTATATTCCCTAATACAAAGCTTGATGGCTATCGATAGCTATATTTTGAACTAGTATAGGTTGGCCGTGCAACTTAAATATTTTGTTCGTCCATGCATGTTGATTTTTGTCATAAATTTATACTTTATCCATTTGTATTTTATCACTACTATTTTTTAATTTTAAAAAGATGTAACTTAAATATTTTTACATGAATTTAAAATTAAAATTTAATTGTATTTTATCACTATTATTTTTTATTTTTTGAAAAGATGTAACTTAAATATTTTTACATGAATTAAAATATTTTTATGCAAAGACATAATTTCAATGCTTACCATAATGATAATTTTATTCCTCTGGCCTCTAATATTGTCATCACTTTGCTCTACTATATATATTTATTGGAAAAAATCTACATAACCCCCTCACCTTTGGCACTACGGCTACTCTACCCTCTGAACTTTGAAACCGTCTAACAAGCACCTTAAAGTTTTTCAAACCGTTTAATTAACCCCGTGGAGTGGTTTTGGCAGCCGGTTTTGCCTACGTGGCACTCCACACATGGAAAGACAGGACAGGGTGGTGGCGGGCCCCTGATGTCAGTCCCCTTCGGCCCCAAATACGGACTGAGCAGAAGAACTTAAAATTGACAAAGTCACCAAGATCTCGCTATCACAGACACGTCTATGTCTATAGTGGGCGTATTTTGGGAGTTTGGGTTAACCTTACTGTCGGGGACCAATATTAGGGTACCCGAAGAGGAGGAGCTAATGACCATCAATATTGACTTATTCGAGCAGTCAAGAGCGCGACTACAGTTCCAACCGACCCCCCGGCGCGCAAGCTCCGCTTCGCCCGGCCTTTGGGAAAGGGCACCGCCTTGCCCGACCTTTGGGTCTGCGCTCCGCCTTGCCCGACCCTGGGGTTTGCGCTTCGCCTCGCCCGGCCTCTGGGGGAGGACTCCGCCTCGTCCGACCCCGAGGCCGCAGGCTCCGCCTCGCCCGACCCTTGGGTCTATGCTCCGCCTCGCCCGACCCTTGGGTCTGCGATCCGCCTCACCCGACCCTTGGGTTTGTGCTTCACCTCGCCCGACCTGCAGGGGAGGACTCCTCGCCCTTGAGCCAGAGGCGCGGGCTCTGCCTCGCCCGACCCTTGGGTCTGCGCTCCGCCTCGTTTGACCCTTGGGTCTGTGCTCCGCCTCGCCCGACCCTTGGGTTAGCGCTCTGCCTTGCCCGACCCCGAGGCCGTAGGCTCCTCCTCGCCCGACCCTCGGGTTTACGCTCTTCCTCGCCCGGCCTCTAGGGGAGGACTCCACCTCGCCCGACCCCGAGGTCGCAGGCTCCGCCTCGCCCGACGGAGACCCATACCACCGCCAACCACTCCAGGTCCAAGCGTATGGGCCTCAGTCCAAGCTCTGACACCAGGGAAGAGACCGACACGCCCGATGTAACCCGTGGCCTTGACGAGCCATACCGGAGGATTCACATCAAGAATAGCGTCGGGCGTCTGGGGTGTTGTTACGCTAACCCCGTCTGAACACTAACGGGCACATCGGTTCACCCGGCGTTCGCCGGGGCGGAGTGGGCGCCATGGCCCGGCATATGGCGCTTGCGCATGGTGCTCGTGACGGACAGGACCGCGACGCGAAGCCGTCCTTGTTGACATCTACAGGGTCAGCGGGACCCGCATGAAGGAGAAGAAGGACCCGATGATCCTGAAGGCCTTTGGCTCTCTCTCTCTTGTTCTTATTTTTCCTCTGCTGTAACCCATGCTTTTCCTTGGCCTATAAAAGGGAAAGCAGGGTGTCCCATAAGGGACATCGCAACACATCAGATCGATTCGAGCTAGATCCAAACAAACCCATTGAACCTCGAACACACGACTGAGCAGCAACCGAGCTCCCTCAGCACCCGTTTACTCTTTTCACCAGAGACTTGGGACCTATCCCTCTCTCGCCTATTTGTAACCCCTACTACAAACTTTCAGGGCTAGTAACACGAGCGGCAGTAACGAACTGGACGTAGGGACATTCTACCTGAACCAGTATAAACCTCGTGTCCTCTAAGCACACCATCTGAGCCAGACGCGCAATATTAGAAATTTACTCGTTGGTGGCAACTCGAAACACCGATAGTTGGCGCGCCAGGTAGGGGCCTTTTGCGCATCTCGACATTCACACCATGCCTCGGATGGCTAGTCGCAACGTCAGCTGGGTCTCGGGCGCGCACGTTCGCTTTGGGGACCTGGACTTCATTGTCATGACGGAAGGAGAGTTGGCGCAGGCTCCCGCCGCCGTCCAACCTCTCCACTCCACCAGCCTCTATGCTATCGCCGAGGGGCTAGAGGAGCTGCAGCTGCACGCACCGAAGGCCCACGCCCCCGGGAGCGACCAGCTCCTCGGCTTTGACTACGGGAGGTTACAGTGCTAGCTCGACACCTTCCTAGGACCCCGACCGTCCTGGGAGGACCTGTGCCACCACACCTTCTCGTTCGCCAACGTCATGGCATAGCTTGCCAGGGGAGAGCCCCGCTCCCCGGAATACCTCCCCTAGAGCACCACGACAGCGCTCCCGTTCGGTCTCCGCAATGCCGCAGAGACCGTTGACCACCCTGTGGCGCAACACACGCCTCCATCCCCCACGAACGACGAGTTCGTGGGGATGACCGAATATGTCGTGAAGTCTTTCCATGACCTCCTCATAGGAGAATCAGAGTCGCCCTCCAGCTCTGACTCCAGCAGGGGGAGCCATCACCCCTCTCGTGACTATTTCATGGCGGGTACCCCCGAGGGACACGTCAAAAGCATCGATGAGGAAGAGGCTACCCCAATGAATGACCTCGATGACGAGGTCGGGGGGATGCAGGGGGCCTGCCTCGCCTGTGGGTGGAACAGCTGAAGGCCCGACACCAAGGGCTCGAGGAAGTGCCCGACTCCAGCTTGAGCAGGAACGCATGGAGCTCGATCGATAGATCGAACGCCACATAGACAGTGGGCGTGCACGCGCCATGGCCAGTGACGTGAACCGGAGGATCATCGATGACGATGAAGCACTCCCGCACTTCGCCCGAGCGAGCCAGAACATCGCCGTTGCGGTGGCCTTGCTCCCGGGGCTTTCGGGGCCCGCAACGCCCGAAGACCGTTGGGCCCATCGCGAGATTCACACACTACTCGAGCGTGCGGCGGCATAGCAGGCCGAGAGTTCGCTGTCTCGGCGATGCGAGCTCAACA